CTGGGTTTGAGGAGGAATCAATGCAAACGAACCAAAATAACCTACTTTGGAACAGAAACTAGCATGCCCATGTGGGAGCTGGCACCGGTTTAATTAAATCCAGCTAAGAGCACCATGGTATGGACAGGCCCAAAGGCATAAGCACTGGCCGGGCATGAGGCTGCGGCCGTGCCCCTTCGGCCCTATTATCAGGCCTGTGTAAGATGTCGGAGCAACACTACCGGAGCCAAATGCTCGTATTTCACATGTGCCAGTGCAGCTGCCAGTGCTGGTGCTGTGGGTGAGGCAGGGAGGATCAGGCCTCGCTCCAGCTCACAGCACAGGCTTTTTGGCAGTCATGCATGTGCAGGGCATCGCTATTAGGTGTCCTCAGTGCTGCTGTCATATGCCTAATAGGAGCGTTCACACGCAGCTTCTCTGCAAAGCAGCTGGAGCCTTGGCACGTGGAGCTCTTTGCAAACCCGATTTCTCCAAACTGGACCCTTCCTGGAGGGCTTGGGAAGGAAGGTGCTGCCCAGAGCTGAGACGCCAGGTTTGACGTCCTCAGAGCGGCTGTGGCGAATATGCAGAGCAGGGGGCTGCTTTCTGCAATTTTGGGATCTGAATTCCTGGGCTTCAGGTCAGCTCTTGGGAAACACCAGTGCCCTTCCTGCCCATCTCTGGACTCTGCATGGTGGGACGATGTCTTTCTGGTATCGTGGGGGTACCTGCATTGCCTTGCTGCCTCCTGACATCCCCGTCACAGTACACGGTGCACAAGGCCCCTGCGATCACAGCTGGATGCAGTTACCTGGCTGCTTCGTGCTGCTCTAGTTTTCCTTTCAGCCCTGATAAAGAAGGAAGGTGTCTGCCTAGCTTTGCACTGAACAGCCCCGTGGCACCTTGGGTCTGTGTCCGTGCCAGGCCCTTGGCAGGGGCATGAACAGTGCCAGGGCTCTTGCCTGGGGTATGGAGGATTCCTCAAGCTGATCAGAGTAGTCCGCTTGGAGGTATCCCAACATATCCATCAGACTTCACATCCATGAGAAACAGGGGTTTCAAATGGGGTGGAGATGCTGGAGCTGAACTCAGCAAGGGGTGAGCTAGTGACAGAGAAAACCAACTGGCTGCTTCTTTCTGTGTTGTCCATTTGTCCAGCAGCTCACGGCCAGCCCGGAGACTGTCGTCTTTAAAGAAATCACATATATTCACTCTTAATTGGATCTATCGAAGAGTGGAGAGCGAAGAACTACCCGACATGCATGTCCTTTGATTACTCTCGAGAGCAATGAATCCACCATTGAGTGTAGCTTGAGGCTGTGAAAGCAAAATGATCTAGCTTCTGCATTTCCATGTGTTACAGCGCTCTTTAATGGAAACACCGCTGGTAAAATCCTTTGTGCTGCTCAGATGATGAGCCTTGGGAGTAATTATTTCAGAAGCCTTTTTTTTGGTGGGGGAAATAAAGCTGTTTCCACTTCTGTTGGGTCTGCTCTTTGGGTAACGTCGGCTTTTCTCTCTGTGTCTTTATTTTCTTCTCCTGCTAGATCAGGCCTTCTCAGAAACTGTCTGTGGAAAGTTGGTATAATCTGTGTAACACCCTCACACCCCTTCCCTTTGCTGCTTTTTGATGGAAAGGATTTTATGATGGATTTCTGGACCCAGAATCTCTCTTCTTGTAACACCCCTGGGAAATAGCATCCTGGGGGAAAAAAAAGATAAAGCTAGTGCTCACAAACCTGCAGCTGTCGCTGTTTCAAGTTCAGTGACCTCTTTGCCTGTGAATTCATGTCAACGGTGGGCTGATGTTGATCAGCCAGGTGCATTGCACGTGGCACTGGGTGCTAACCTTTGCATGAGTGCCATTTAAACCTTATTTTTGCTCGGGACCCATGGATGGCAAGGCCAAGAGATGACAAGGCATCAGTTCATTGGCCCGAGGCGGGGGCAGATTCGACTGGCAGACCGGAGCATCAAAATGCACCTTCTGGCCTTCAAATGAATGCAGCTGCGTCTTAGATGGGCAGAGGTCTCCATGCCTGAATTAAAGTGTCCTCTGAGTCAGGTTCTGAGGTCACTTGCTACATAGCCCTTCCTGCCAGGCCACTATTTAACCTGTCACTTCATAAATAGATCCCTTTCTCCAGTCTTCTCTTCCCTCGAACCTGGGAGCGTAGCTTGAATACATATCACAGGAAGCAGCACATGTGGATCGAGATGCACAGACTCATGGACAATGAGGGTGGGGAGGGAGCTCAGGAGGCCACATCCAGTCCAGTCCCCTGCTCCAAGCAGGACCAGCCCTAACTACATCATCCCAGTCAAGACTTTGTTTAGCCGGGTCTTAAACACCTCCAAGGATGGAGATGCCAACATCTCACTGGGGAGCCTGTTCCAGTGCTTCACCACCTTCCTCGTGAGAAAGTTTTTCCTAATATCCAACCTCAACTTTCCTTGCTGCAATGTGAGCCCATTGCTCCTTGTGCTGCCATCTGCCCCCACTGAGACCAGCCCAGCTCTATCCTCTGTGCAGCCCCCCTGCAGGGAGGTGAAGGCTGCTATTCAATCCCCCTCGGCCTTCTCTTCTCCAGACAAAATCAACCCAGTTCCCTCAGCCTCTCCCCCAAGTCATGTGCCCCAGCTCCTGAACCATTTCTCTTGCCCTCCACTGGGCTCTCTCCAATGTGCCCACATCCTTTCTGTAGTGGGGGGCCCAAAACTGGACACAGGACTCCAGATGTGGTCTCTCCAGTGCTGAGCAGAGGGGATTAATCACTGCCCTTGACCTCCTGGCAATGCTCCTACCAATGCAGCCCAAGATGCCGTCAGCTTTCTTGGCAGCAAGGGCATACTGCTGGCTCATATCCAGCTTCTTGTCCACTGTCCCCCCCAGGTCCTTTTCTGCAGAGCTGCTGCCCAGCCCGTCACTCCCAGCCTGCACCCATGCATTGGATTGCTCCCTCCTAAGTGCAGGACTTTGCACTTGTCCTTGTCGAACCTCATGAGATTTCTTTTGGTCCAATCCTCCAATTTGTCGAGGTCTCTCTGAATCCTAGCCCGACCCTCCAGCGTATTTACTACTCCCTCCAGATCTGCAAACTTGCTGAGGGTGCACTCGATGCCATCTTCCAGGTCGTTGATGAACCTGCAGGGTTGGTCTGATGATGATGGGTGGATGGCATATGCCCACCTTTCCTTATGCCAGGCTGGACGACCGTTCTGTTTTGACCCAGAGCAGCATGGCTTGCCCATGAACAGTATACCTGGCCCGGGTGATCGTCCTTTCTGCAGATCAACATGGGTTTCCTGCGGATCCAGGGATGCTGAGGCAAAGTAAAAGATGAGCTCCCTGTTAGCGCTCTTTGGAGCACAGCAGGGTTTCCTCCGCTGTTTCATGGCTGGGGTCCATGCCTGGAGGCTCATGTGAACACATCTGGGTCTGTGAGTTCAATTCCCTGGTGGAAGCCAACTGCAATACCCTGAGACAGAGCCCTGGGCCCCTTCTGTATTCAGCTGCTCCCTTCTGCCGGTAGCTGTGGGGAAGGCTGACTTTCAGCACAGGTTTCTTTCTTTTATGCCTCATCTGGTCCACATAGGAATTCCCCAAGAAGAAATGGAGTCTGGCTATCCATCCTCATTAAAAAAGCCCTCAATATTTCCAGGGATAAAGAAACTCTGCTGAAATATGAACCGAAACGTAATAGATTGGGCACCGCATAGCTGTAAATCAGCCATTACTCTGCTGCAAGGGGCTTTCTTTTTCAATTTAAGCTACACGGACAAAGAAATCTATTGGTATTTGGTGCGGTAAAGCCACCATCTATCACTTGCCGTCACTATATACAACTCTTTGTTTTATCCGCGGAAAGCAATATCATATCATGCGTTAAGTATCCTCTCTGGAAGTTCAGTTGCACGACATAGCGGAGTTGTCAGCTAAGCCATGCTTAGTTCATTGACTTTATTTTGCTGTCATTTTCCAAACGTGTGCTATCTAGCTATCTGCATGCACTACCCCTAATTAAATCTGTAATAAGGGTTGATTAAAGAAGCTGAAATCCCAGGGGCTCCTTCTATAGCACTTCAGCAAAAAGCTTTCTTCAGCCGGCTTTCAGGACTCTTGTTTCCCCGTTGCTCTCAGATCCCCCAATCCTTCTCAACACCTTCATGTCAATAAATAACTTTCTAGCTCCAGGTTAGCAAATCTTTTTATACATTTAATTTCCTTCCTTGGGTTCCCTGGGGAGGGAGCAGATGAAGAAACCTGCAGAGTGGCAGGACTTTTAATACTTTCACTTGTCTGCCCATGTGGCTCTAAGGCTGAGGCCACTTTAGACCCACCCCATTGGGACTCTGTAGGGCGAAAGCCTGGGGACTCCTTAATCCACCCTAGACAGAAAGGAAGTCAGAGCCTGACCTCCAGGGAGAGAAATCCAAGGTGGAGCATTGCTAACAATCATGATGGTTAATAAGGGTTGTTGCAGGACTCCCCGACACAAGTGGTGCTTGGTGCTGTACGGACATGGAGTAGCAAGACAGTCTCTGCCCCAAAGAGACAGCAGGCACAGTGCATAACACAGGGAGAGGGACCAACATACGGCTAGCAAAGAGCGCAGCAATTCTCTGTAAATCCCAGAGATCTGTATCAACACCTTGCGTGGGTTTATTAACTCCATAAGTCGGGAAGACAAAGCTCCCGTGGTTAGTGCTGCTGCCTTAGGAGATGAAACTGCAGCACATGGCACATGAAGGGCTCTGGCCTGATCCTGGTTTCTTGTCCTGGATAATGGGGCTGCCGTGTGCTGGGGGGAGCACAGAGAAGAGGGAGAACTTGTTTTTCAGGCCAGATGCATCCCCCACCACTACAAACACTCCCTGCCTCCAGTACAGCAGATCCAGGAGCTGCATGCATTGGGGAACCGCGAGCTGGCTGGGCCCTGACCTCTTCAGCTGGCACTGAACCTATGCCCCTTGCACGAGAGCATAATGCCTTCCCCATGCCTTTGCCCGGTGCTCAGTACCTGACACGCCAGCGTGAAGCACCACGGCACAGAGCAGCTGGATCCATCCTGGCCTGGCCTGCCCGGTGACCTTGGGAAGTCGTTGCACCTCTCTGTACCTCCCTTCCCTCTGTGCAAGGGGAAGAACAGGCTTAGCTTTGTGAAGCACCTCGCGTTGTACTCATGCAAACCGGAGAAGAAGAAGCGTCTTCATATTAGTTGAGCAAGGAAAAAATACAACCAAGCAAACAAACCCAGCAGCGATCTCAATGGTAGCTCTCGAGAAATGTCCGTTCCTTCCTTGTAGTGCCGGTATTTATTTAGCAGTAATTTGAGGAGTCATCTCTGCCACTGGAAGCATGATGGTAAATCCTGGCCATAAAACATTGCAAAGGGCAACTGCTGTAAGTAATGGCAGTGTCTACAAGTGTCATTACAACATGTTCTCTGCTCTTAAAGGTCGCAAAAAAAAATCACTGTCATCAGTATTCATAAAAATTAAATGGTCCAGAACATTAGCCCAGGTTGTATTTCAGGTTTTTGTTTAATTTCCCTTTATCATTACAAGGATCTCTAACAGCGAGGCTTTTTTGTTTTTTTTTGTGCAAGATAAACTGATAAATGAAATGTTCTTTCTTTCCTCGCATAAAACGTGTATGGAACGTTGCCCGGTTTTGCCAAAATGTTGTTTAAATATAATTCATGCCCTTTCAGGCCAATCAATATGCCTCTTTGCTATATTCATTTATTCATAGAGTAAACAGTAATATCTAAAGATTGCAAAACTCGGAGCAAAGGGCTTTGTTCTTTGCCAAGCTGCTTACCTGCCTTCAACAGCCCCTCTCTCTTCTCCAGTAGAATTGAGGTGGTCGAATTATTCATTGTGAATAACTTACGCATGTTTGGATTGTTTAATCTGATGTATCGTGGCCACGTGAAATGCCCATGCTGGTACCGTAGAGGGTGGAATGGGATTCTGCAAATAATTTATTTCAGGCCCATTTGCCAAATGCAATTATTTTTGCAAATCTTGTTTCTTCATTTCACCACTGTCAGTGAGTCGCATGATAGCCACAGTGGTATCTTGCCAGGGGAGCGCATGCTACAATTGTGCCTTCATTTTTCTGTACCCAGAAACCAGTGATTTGCTTGGACAGCCTTGGCATGGCTGCTTGTTGTGAGAGCGTAGCTCCTTCTGGTCCAGCAGAGCTTGAGTAACTGAGATGCACTGAAGACAAAGAAACCAGCTTATGCCGAATAGACAAGGCAGCTCCTCTTCCTCCGCTGCTGTCTCCTTGCCCAAGTCCAGGGCTGGGTGGAAAGAGAGAAGGGATGGTGTGACAGCGACTTGCTGCTTCTTTATTAGTCCATTCTGCACCATCACAATGGATTGCAGCTGCTTTCACTGGAGGTGAGCAGGGCCCCTTCTTTCCTCCACCTATTAAAGACAAGCCCAAGCCATCAAACTCCCATCCAGCTCTGCTTTCTGAATCCATGCTTTGGGCTGGGCAAGTTCAGCCCAGCATGGAGATGGGGCTAGCTGGAGAATTGGGATCTGCCACCTACTTACACTTGTTCTAAAGCAGGGTTGTTAAAT